GAAGGCTTCCAGCCGTACATGTTTGAGCCCTTGCCTCGCAACGCTGCCAGTTCTGTTAGCTCTACGCCTGCCGAAGACACAGACGTCCATCCCCGTAAACACTGGAACGCAACTCAATGGGAAAGGAAAGGATTCTGATTTCAACCGTTGCGTATAGTAGCTGCAATATATGAATCAAGATGCTATGACCGAAAACATTTGATTGACAGATGACCGTTGATATATGATTGGACCGAATTTAGGTGTTCAGGCTGACGTAGAACTAACTGGCCTGCAGAAGATAACGAGAAAACACAGATTTTTAAGACAGGATTTTTTTTAAATAGAATATTTTCTAACTTTTGGGACAATATGGTCTGATAAAAAGTACATTTATCTACATGTTTAAGCCAGAATGATTTGACATTTAAATATAACTTCCCTATAACTTTAAGGGTGTTTTTTCTCTCTCAATATAAATGGCTTCCTTTCTTGTTTTGATCCACTCTATAAATCTTAGAACTCAAAGCTGTTTCTGACATTTTGAATTGAAAAAGCTTCCTGGATGGGAAGCGAACCGTCTTCAAATTTGGAAACAGAGTTCAGTGGATTGTTTTTTAACTTTTTTGGACTCACTATGACCTGGATGACTGAGAATCTTCACCAGCATGTTCCATTTACTCTCAACAGTTGTCTCGGTTACCGTGCTCGACACGGTTCCAAAAGGCTGGTGTAAATGGGGCATATAGCTCTAGTTAAAAGGGAATTTAATGCTCAGTAAAAATCTCCATAAAAAATGAGTCCATGCAGCATCTTAACACATCCCAGAGGTAATTTCTCTAAAAGCTGTCGATCGAGGAAGTTTTTACTTTGAAAACAGGGGGGGGGCTACGCAGCCGGCTCCAGGAAAGTAGTCCTGAGTTTTAGAGGATTTACAGCACCTGTCAGCATGCTCTCGTTCACAACGCAGGTTCCTTGGAAGAGCACGGCGTCGCAGGGCATTACCATTCCATTGGCTGGGATGGAGATGACATCACCGGGGACAAGCTCCGTCGACATGGCCTGTTCAATATCTGAGATTAACATAGCAAGCAATGAAGGGAACGGAAAGTTCAGCAGAGGGTCCATCTGCAGTGATGAGCAGCGGAAGCTGAAACATGCCTTTATTTCCTCTGCAGACAGACACACGGACCACGCTGTGGGCGGAAACCATGGCATGGAGCATCACATATTGCTGCAAAAAATAATAAGAGCTGCTGCTTTAGAGAAGAGGGAAGATTTATTATATGCTCAGGGACATAAAAGATACCCATCGGGATATCCTCCAATTTGGTGTAGAAAAACTGTTTAATTCAAACCTTTTCAGGTCAGTCTATAGAGGGCTCACCTTTCTTATGGTATACAGAGAGGTAGCTATTGATATGACCGACATTAAAACTATGGCTGTAGCGTAGTAGTAGTAGTCCTCAGCAGTCCATAGAACAACACTGAACAGCTGGAAGATGTAAAAGGGATTCAGAACCTGGAGGGAAACAAAGAAGAAAACTCCATCAATGGTTTTGCTAATAAACCGTATAAATTAGGGATGCACGATATTGGGATTTTGGCCGATATCCGATATGCCGATATTTTAAAACTCATGTAGCCGATAACCGATATCG